AAATGCCAGCCTTTTTAAACTCCGTATTACATTTGTTGAATATATTATCTTCTAGTTTATTAAAGGCGGGTTTATTGTCTTTAATTATTTTGTCACACTTTGAGTAGATTGTCGCTTACATTTCTAGAAACAGAATTCATCTCCTTCATAATAACACCAAATTGACATTGCAAATACCGCTCCTTTTAAACTATGTATATATTATATTTGTTGAATATATTATTTCCTAGTTTACTAAAGGCTGTTTATTATGTTTAATTATTTTGTCACATTCAAAACATTCTGGTTTGCTAAGATATCTTACAAATTGACCAATATATAGTAAACCATCGAAAGTAACCGAGAGTTTAAAAATCTGGTATTAGGTATAAGTAAATAAGGTGATTTTTGATCCCATTTTTTCTGTTTGGTATGACTACACACTATTAAGAATAAAGAGTGAGCAGACAGCAACGCTTTTTATATGCGTGCGCTGATGCTTGGCATATTCTGGAAGCCCTCTGCCTCTCTCATGCACTGGTACTACACAGCTCTTGTTAGATCAATTCTGCTCTACGGTGCAGTAGTATTGTGGACAGGCGAACGAAAATTCACCTATCGGAAGCCTATGCAAAAGGTTCAGAGGCTCGCTGCGCAGTGAATAGTGGGAACTTTAAGAACTACGGCCATAGCTCGGTGGATAATGAAGGTTGGGCAAACACCGACTACATTACCCTACTTTTCAACTAGAAAAGAAGGTTCAAAGTAAACAAAATAAAAGATGCCTGGCGTATCGGTATGTTAGTTACGCGCAACGCTCTAAACATCTATAATGATGCCTCGAAAATGGACGATAGAGTTGGTGCGGGAATATACTGTCCAGAGTTGGGCATAAGACAATCTGCTAAGTTGAGGTCTTTGCTATTGCGAAAGCAGCGGAGAACCAACCAGCAATGGAGGAAGTAACCTCGTTTCGCATATCGGCCAGAAGTGTCTTGGGAAGAAGGGCAGCATTAGAGTGTTGCCAGAAAAAGCATCTTCACTTCTACTGGTTTCCAGGTCACAAAGGCATCGAGGGCATTGAAATAGTGGATGAGATTGCCAAGAATGTACATCTAACATCCATAAACATGATCAACATTGCGAAACTCATGAATTGTCTATGAGCCTGCACCTAGTTCGCCTACTGCGCTCCACTCCAACCGAGTGTTCAACAGAAAACAACAACATGACTCACATCATATCTGTTCCTTCAATCTTCATCCCGTTCTAATCCTCTTGCGAGAACCACTCATGAACTCCTGATTCCTCGCTCAGTCTGTTCCGTTTGACAGGCTGGTGTCAGTTACTAATGTGTGAATAAGCTTTGGCTTACTGTCAAGGCTTTGTCTAATCCGAAGAGACCGACTTGAAATTCAATTCATGAGGCCATGCCTCTTAGGACCCGAAGAAGTGCGAGTTATGTATGACTGCCTTAATAGTTGTAAGTTGAAAGCAACCATGCCACAGAGGTGTGGATCAGAAGCTGAACGTGACTGTCACGAGTCAGCATTTTTTAATGTATACAATTATATGTATATATAAAATAATATGTAGCTTAAGCAGACTTAAGTTTGATTTTAATAAAACAGTCGTTAAACAGAGTTCAATAACATTTAATTTGGATAATATAATTTGCATTCATCTTTACAAACATAACTAGCGCAGTCGAAGCGAAGCATAACAAAAAAACCATAAACAACAAGAACATAATGTCGACAATTGTTAACAAAAGTTACAACAATAACTAAATTTAACAACAAAAACTGCACTTATATAAAAAAGTATAAAAAAATAAATAAATAAATATATATACATACGCAGCAGCTATAAAAAACAAAACAACATCAACAGCGGAGACTGCAGCAGCAGCTATAATGCAGAGAAGTTTTGTAAGAATAAATTAAATATTGATATTTTAAGAAAACAGAAGTTCTGGGTAAACAAAGGTAAAAAAATTTAAATAAAATGGTTCATAATAATAGAAATTTAGAAAATGTGTAGTAGCAATTACGCAATTGTTCGAATTAAATTCAATACATAATCAGAGGTCAATAAAACAACGTATTGGAAAAGATATAAAATATGTAAATTCTTTTGATGCCGGCCAATTGCCAGCATAAATTGAAGCAATAGATAAGATTCTGGGGGATTATCTAAAACACGAACAATAAGATTTTAGAGTAGTTTACGATTTAAAAATAACTGGGAAAGCAAAAAATTATTTGCATCTTGCCCCACCAGTTAGTTGGGAAGATTGCAAGATAAAACTAAAACAACTTTTAAGCCTAGGAAATATCAAATTACCATAACTAGGGAAATAATTACATTACGAGTAGGTAGCATTAGTTAGTTAAGTAGCAGAATTAATGATATAATAATTAATGCAATAACTGAATTTGGAGCTCTCGGTGAGAACGGGAGGCAATGAAGGAAATTTTTTCAGGAATGCTTATACAACGTATTAAACAAATCACATCAGGGTCTTGTACTTATGCAATAAGGAACTAAATTTCATGCACTCAGTTATTCGGAATTATATATAGTTTCATAGGACTAAAGGAAGGCAATTTAAATCCTTCATTTAAAAAATTCAATAATTTAGATGTTAATAGGTTCCAAAGAAAAAATCACGATTATCCATAGGACGCAAAACAATGCGCCAAATAATAAAAATAATTTTACAGGCCAACAAAGCTTTAGGCCTAGATATGCTAATAGTTTTAATAATCAACAGAATTACATGCCAGCATATACAAATAATTCTGCAAGTCAGCAACAAAATAATAGAACTAATAACATGTACAACTTTCGAGGTCAAACAAATGGATCGGGTCAACATAATAGCAGAATAAAAAATACAAATAATTTTTCTAGACAGTACTCTAGGAATACTTGGAATAACAATAACAGTGGACATAATAAGTCTAGGAATTTCAATAGGCCTACTCCCATGGATGTAGATACTATAAGTCGGGTTGAGGAACCGGTAGAAACAAACATTAATGATGATTTTTTTACCAATTAGCATCGGGATATTATGACAAAAAAAATAGTCATAATACCAACATTGTTTAGGAAAAAGTGAAGCACTTTAGTAGATCCAGGTCGTACTACTCAACTTTTTCGTTCTGGTGTAGAGGTGGTCGAAGATGCGCCACGCTCCGGAAGGCCTGTCGTCGAATATTGCGATAAAAAAAAATATTCATTGAAAGTGAGTGACCAAAAAACATTGCATTTGATCTAAAATCAGATGAAAAAAGCAACATTGAAATTCTATTAAACTGATTCTACAAATTATTTTACAAACAGGGCGATAACCTCACCAAACCTCCAAAACACGAAGAAGAGATAAGAAAGCTACTTTATGAGCTGGAAAGTGAGGGAATAATACCAAAAAGTAGGAGCAGGTATAGCTCACCTATTTTAATTGTACCAAAGAAAACGGAGGGTTGAAATATTCAAAAATATAGATTAGTGGTTGACTATAGGAGACTTAACCAACTGACTGTGCATGATAAATGTTCTCTGCCAAATATTGATGGGATTTTGGATAAATTGGGCAAAGCGCAGTACTTTGGCGGCATTTGTTTAGCCAAAGATTAGCACAAATTACACTAGTTTACTGCAGTATTGAACTTTTTGTGTGTTGCCGCGAATTCTGCGATTGATATTGTTCACTTATTACTTGTTTTTGTCAAATCTACCCTCAAAATTTTTTGACTAGCGCGAGTTACTTTGTTTTTGATTTTTATCACTTAAGCATATATATTAATCGAAAACAGACGTATTTTACTGTGTTAAGATTAGTTTCTAAAGTTTTTGCGTCATCAGTAGTTCAAAAAGACGTTGTTTAAATGAACCGGAACATTTTTACTACATATGCGGAGAATATGTGTTTAAAAATTGTAGAAAAGTTATATCAGAGTTGGTGAAAAATACCCATTTTGAGTATTTTGGGGTGCTCTTGAAAATAAAAATTCTTGGGCTCCAAATTGTGTTTGTAAATCTTGTGATAATTCGGGTGGTGGAGCACGGTGCTCGTTCGTTCCGTAGATGTGGTTGTCCGTGGGGAAACGGTCGGCGCAATGTTATTCCACAAATGTTAAATAAAAAACAAAAGGTTTCTTATAATAAATATATTTTACAAACAATAAATTGGACAAACACTTACCACGTCTCGATCGGTGAGCGGTCGCAAAAGAAGAGAGCGCGCAACTTTTGGTTATGGTATAGTTGCGCGCGAATTAAACTTCGAAAAAAGTTCGAATAAGAGGAAAAGAAAAGATTGCTATGCCGATACAGACGTGGCAAAAGAAATTGGGCAGGGGCGGCGTCAACATTCTCCTCGCCTTGCAGTATTACTGCAAATACAGTTTACAATAAATTACTTAAAACTAACTTAATTAATTGACTCATGCACTTCCTCTTCCACGTCTTCTTTGCAGATGGGGTGGCCGATGAGACGAATCGAGTCAAGTTCGGACCGGGAAAGGCCGCTGAGATGAATTGAATCTCAGTCGGTCATTGCCATGCTGCCAATTTGCATAGAAGTCACCACCTTCCGAGGTCGGCGAGACGACTCGAGTCTAACTCGATCCTGGGTAGGTGGTGAATGTGAGATGCGTTTGCAGCCAGTGCACTTTATTGTGGCGATGTTATACGACGCTGGATATTATATATCGAGGTATTTTGGGCGATGAGTTGGCCCCCTCTCCTTGATAATACGGCGTGCACCTGCTTGACGACGAACGTCTCGTCCACGCCTTCGCTTCGGATGGGGTGGCCGATGAGACGAATCGAGTCTCGTTCGGTCCGGACAATGTCGCTGAGACGAATCGAGTCTCAGTCGATCGTTGCCATGGCGCCAATCCGAAAATAAGTTACCAGCACCCGAAGTCGGCGAGACGACTCGAGTCTGGCTCGATCTTGGGCGTGTGGTATGCGGGAGAGGCATCGTTGGTCAGAGCTTTGCATGTTACCGTCTTGCACTGAGGTGGGCTGATTGTATACAATTCTGTCGGTCGAACTGTTCCTGCTGCTGTTGTTGCTGTCGTTAGCCACCACGGCCAATGTGAAAGAGCCGTTCGAGGTGGCTGTTTCGTTCAGAATGTTAGCCAAATGATGTGAGGGTGTTGATGTCGGTGTTAGGGGCTGTTGTGGTGGCTGATGCAGCTGCTGTTGCTGGATTTGTAGCGATTGATGCTGAAGTAGTTGTTGTTGCGCTGTCACCGTTGGGCTTGATGCCAAAGGTGACGAAATGTGCGCTGCAGACACAGACGGCTGCGTTATCGCCAGCTGTGCTTCACACTGCGTTGACTGCTGCCGTTGTTGTTGTTGATGCTGTTGTGGTAATGGCTGTTGCCGCGGCTGTGACTGAATCGCTGTCTGCGTCTGTGTTAGGATCTGAGTAGGCGTTGACGTCGGCAGTGGCTGGGACTCAAATTGTGAAATTTGTTGTTGTTGTAGTATTGACTTGAAATTAGCTGGTGCCTCTTGTGTCACCGTTAACATTGCATCAAACGGATCGATTATCAATTGGTGGTTGTACTTCTATTGATTTGGTTGATGCATTTGTTGTTGAGGCGTTGTTGGATCATGTGGTGATACTTGTGGCTGATGTCTTTTCGACATTTATTTTCGCTTCTTCGGAGAGAACGGAACCTGTTAAGATCCAACCTGTACGTTGTGCAACAAGGGATCCGAAGATTTTCAATTTTACCCCATTTAGAATGGTTTTCGGGTAAAGATCCGCTCCAATCAACAAGTCAACCTTTTGACTCGCATAGAAATTATTATCCGCTAAGGGGATATTGAGTAACCTTTTTAAAATTGAGGAGTTAATTGACTTGGATGGAAGCAGTCCAGTCAATTTTGGCAGTAGAAACGCTTCCGCTTCTAGTTTTAAACTTTTGTCGCGGGGCGAGTCAATTGTAATCGCGCATACCGATTGAACTCGTCCTGATACGGTATTATTCAATCCTGAAACTCGCGCGCTGACCTTTTTGCTTGCCAGATGTAAGCGTTTTTGCAAACTTTTGCTTAAGAAGGTGGCTTCAGATCCCGAATCAATCAGGGCTCTGACAGTGAAGRCRCTCTTGTTGTGACATACGGTCACCATGGCTGTACCTAAGAGCATGCTTCGACTGGTAGGCACATTTGAAATATTGGCCTTAATAGAGGCCACATGAGATTTAGTAGAAATCTCAGTAGTGTCTGTGCTGTCGGATATCTCACCTATTTCCACACTCTGATCCCGGTGAGTCATAGAGTGATGTCTCTGTTTACATTTATTACAATTAAACATACTTTTACAATTTTTGACTTCATGTGAGTCTGATAAACAGTTAAGGCAGACGTGGAGTTTTCTGACAGCATTTAACCGTGCGTTAGGTTGCATCTCAATGAATCTTTGACAAGTTTTCAAAATGTGCGATTGAGATGAGCACAGTTTACATTTGACATTGTTTGGTTGGGCGTGATGGGAGTTGATGGGTTTAGATCCAATCCTTGACTGCAAGGTTGGTATCCGACCTTCACCATTAGCCGACTCAATATTAGGTTGAGTACTCAACTCGCCTTTGAGGTTTGATACTCTCTCAAGCGTTTTAACCCGTTTGGTTAGAAACTTGTCTAACTCAACCCATTTTGGGATCTCTGAATCCGAAACCAGAGATTGTTCCCAAAGCGACAGTGTATAGTCCGGTAGTCGGATAGAACACAAATACGTGAATATGGCATCCCATCTATCTACATTGATGCCATGTATTTGTAAAGTGATATGCAGCTATTTATCTCCTGCTGTAAAGTTCTGAGTTCGGTCTCAGATTCTGTAGAAATGTGCGGAAGCTTGAACAATAAATTTAGTTGTGTGTTGACAAGCACTCSCTTTTTTTCATACCTACACAACAATGGAGGTATTCATTCGTCAGTGGCGCTTTCGAAACAATAGCTTTTGCTTCACCTCGCGTGTTTTGATTTAAACGGAATAACTTTCCTACCGGAGATAGCCTTGGGTTATTCCCATATATAGCAGCAAATAAATYCCTAAATGAGGGCCATTGTAAAACATCGCCATGAAATATYTCAGTATCACATGGCGGTAAATTGATAGAATACCTCACGGGTTCTACAGTTTGTTGTAACCGTTCAGGTTGAATGACTGTAGAATTTGAAGTTGGGCTTTGGTTGAACGCCGTGAGGTTGTGCATGTGTTCGCCCATCAAGGCCGCGCAACACACATAAGGTAACAGCTTGAATATTTTAGCTTAATGTCGTCTATTGAGCTTGTGTCGGAAGGATCCACTTTTGGCAAACACAACTTGTATTCTGACTTTACCTCTGCCCACAGAGATCTCAGTTCAGCTTGTTGTACTTCGAGAGAGTAGGCACTTTGGTTGTTTGCTGTTGGAGTAAAAGACCCCTCAAGCTCCAGTAGAGCGTCTGCAGCTGTGATCAATGCTCTCAGGGATTCCATTGTTTTGGAAATTGAACCGGAACTGCAAAAATGTTGCACAAAGTCGGATCTAAAACTTTGAAATTAAAATTTAAAATATTTGCAAATATGTTGCAAAAAAGTTCAAAAGTTACAGAAGCACTCACGGGCAAACTAAAAATTAGTAGTGCGTTGTTTCTTAGCGAAGCGTGAATTTTCGAAAGAATAAAAAAATTAATAAATTGAGTAAAGTATTTTCTCAAAGTATATATATATATTTTTATTTTTTAATTTGTATGTGCTTGCTGGGTAATCGTCCCAATGCACTTGCACGCCTAGTCTTCGGATATGTACACAAACAAAATTGATTTGTGCTTAATTGCTTTATTTAAATCCAAATACAATACAGATAAACATTCACAAACACTTATTTGATTTGTCAACTAATCACTTTCACTTTGTGCACTGTTTTATTTTCGAACTATTTCGATTTCACCATTACTACTTTGTTTGTTGCTGTCCTTCTGGGATGTCCGCTGCGCTGCTTGCCTTTGCTGCTCTCCCTTTGCTGATTGGCATGTGCTGCTTTGCCTGTGCTGCTCTCAATTTGCTGCTTTGCCTATGCTGCTTTGTCTTTGCTGTTGGCCTGTGCTGCTTTGCCTGTGCTGCTCTCAATTTGCTGCTATGCCTGTGTTGCTTGGCTTTGCTGCTCGGGCTGCTCTTCTTAGCTGTTTGGATTTCTTGCCTGTCGCTCACTTCACTTTTCTTTGTATTTTTTTTTTTGTTTTCACTCGCGAAACTGCAGCTGCGTTATTGCTGCTTGCCTTTATTGCTATTCGAGCAATATATGGAAAGGCAGAGTTGAGCGACTAGACTCAAATTAACCACAAGAAAACACAAACCGAGAGAGATTGGGACGCTCCAGACGATTTTGTGCGTCCAAGAAATTTATAATGTTATTCGGATAACAGTGTGGTTTTTTTTTGCTTTATATGCAAAGTGAAATAATTAAAGCTCAAAAGAGCGCACAACTTTTAGTTATGGTTTAGTTGCGCGCGAATTAAACTTCGAAAAAAGTTCGAATAAGAGAACAATAACAAGAAAATATTGCTCTGCCGATACAGACGTGGCAAAAGAAATTGGGCGGGGGCGGCGTCAACATCTTGTGTGGAATATTTAAGGTTATGGAAAAGTGGTAAAAGAAGTGCCTTTAAATTTGGAACACCGACTATTTGGCGAGATCCACGAAATCATCTCGTAGACTGTTATTTTTGTAGTGTGAACACAAACGGTTTAAACACTAAAAATCGAGCTAAATGACAGTAATCAAGTACTAGTTATGTTCAACGTCCAGTGCAGCGTTCACTTAACTCTTCAGAGCCTAAAAATATATCTGAATCATTAGAGCAAGACAAGGACCAAGCTCATCACAAAATGATGCTGATTTTGAAGGTATGTCTGATGAGCCAAAACGCTTTTCCCAAAATGAGTTGAATGCTCTTGTAAGAGATTTAAATCTTTCTAAACAAGCTTCAGAATTGTTAGCATTAAGACGAAAAGTAAAAACATGCTATCCTCGGATACTAAAATAAGTTTTTATCGTGAAAGAGATGCAGAATTACGCCGTTATTTTTCCGAAGAAAACGGCATTACCTTTTGTTCAGATATCAAAAACTTTTTGATAAAAATGGGCTTAAAGCGATACGAACCAAACGACTGGCGTTTATTCATTGACAGCTCAAAACGTAGCCTTAAATATATTCTATTACATAATGGAAATAAATACGCTGGGGTATCTATTGCCCACAGTACAAAGTTAAAGAAGTAATATTGTAACATTTCGCCAGTCTTGAACAAAATAAAATACAATGACCATGAGTGGCAAATTTGTGTCGATTTAATAATGGTCAACATTCTTCTCGATCAAGAAAGTGGTTATACCAAGTTTCCCTGTTTTATATGTCTTTGGGACAGTAGAACTAAACAAGAGCATTGGGTGGGAGAAAACTGGCCCTGGAGAGAAAAAATGAAGCCTGGAAAGCACAATTAAGTCCAAAATTCATTAGTAGCTCGTAACAAAATTATCCTGCCACCATTACATAAAAAACTAGGCATCATGAAACAGTGTGTAAAATCACTATATAAAGATGGGAATTACATTTGCCAAAAACTTCCTCAGCTCACTATGGAAAAGATTAAAGCCGGAATTTTTGATGGCCCTCAAATTAGACAACTTACGAAAGATACTCAATTTAGAAATTCTATGACTGAGTCAGAATCAAAGGCTTGGACAGCATTCGTATCTGTGATGCAGAATTTTCTCGGAAATAAAAAATTTGAAAATTATATTGAACTTGTAGAAGACCTTCTGCTACAATTAAAAAATATGGGATGCAATATGAGTATAAAACTCCACTTCCTCCATAGTCACCTAGAGAGGTTTCCGGAAAATTTAGGAGATATGAGCGAAGAGCAGGGAGAGCGTATGCATGAAGATTTACGTGTCATGGAAGAGGGCTATCAGAGTTTCTGGGACACAAATATGATGTCTGGAGAAGAACTTTAAAACGAAGTTTTTTAGAACTTAATATAATAAAATTTGTGTTGTCTATCAGGATGATATTTTGGACTTTTCCACGTCCTTGGAAAAGCATATTCTATCACTAAAAAAAGAAACGGAAATTTTAGGGTACACATTAACAAAAGAGGGAGTTAAACCTAATACAGAGTAAATTTGGCAATAAAAGAGTTAGAACTTCGGAAAAAGAGAGACAGCTTAAATGTTTTTTGGGAGCGACAGGTTATTATAGACAATTTATTAAAGACTATTCGAAAGTAGCATACCGCATGATACAATACTTAAAAAAAAGGTTATAAAAAAGCCAAGAGATCCGCAATTCCCTGAATATTGTAAAGAGTTTACTATCACAATTGATGCTAGTGATTACGCAATAGGAGCAATCCTTTATTACGAAGATCAGCCAGTGTGCTACATTTCCAGAACATTAAACAACCATGAACAGAAATATGCTAAAACAGATAATAATTTCTAGCCATTAATATAATAACCTATTTCAGG